CTCAAAGAACAATGGAGTGAGGTAGAAGACCGCGATGGGGTGAGGCTTAGCTGGAACGTCCTCCCAAGCACACGCATGGTTAGTGTCCCATGTGTGACGACGTCCGCCAGTGATATGGACTCTAAGAAGCGCGATAGGAGGCATCTAGACTCGTGGTACCCATCGGAGCTCTCTATACACCACTCAAGGAGAAACCTGAGACGCCTTTGCTGCATTTTGAGCCTGTCACTTGCAAGCAACCTTGCCGCTCCGTTTTGAACCCGTTCTGGTAGGTTTTCGGCCCATTTCCAGAAGACCAAAGTGGCTGAAGTGTTGTCCTTAGCTCTGTCGATGTTCGAGCCCGGCTATGGATCTGCCCGTTCTGCTTGTCGCGCAACCCTCTCCCACCTCACTATAAGGACATAACACAGAATGCGATACCTCCCGAGCTCCACCCCTCGAACACCACGATCGAGTACAGGCTCTCACGCCCTGCCCCGAGTCCTCCGATTTTTCTCTATGTTGTTGACACATGTCAAGAAGACGACAGTCTCTCTGCCCTGAAGGAGTCACTTGTTATGAGCCTAGCAGAGCTGCCTCAAAATGCGCTGGTTGGCTTGATTACCTATGGCACTATGGTAGGCAGTGAATCGCTGCATTCAACACGCATGACAATAAGGTACTATACTGACGTGTATGCAGGCCCAAGTCCACGAGATCGGCTACAACGAATGTGCCAAGTCGTATGTTTTTCGAGGGAGCAAAGATTATACAGCAAAACAAGTCCAGGAGATGCTCGGTTTGCTTTCACCTGCGCCCAGACCCGGCATGCCACAGCAGCCTGGCCGCCCAACTCCTAGCGGGCCTGCCTCCAGGTTTCTGCTACCTGTCTCGCAGTGCGAGTTTCAGCTCACGAAAGCCCTCGAGCAGCTACAGAAGGACCCTTGGCCGGTTGCTAATGACCGTCGGAGCCTGAGGTGCAGTGGAGTAGCGCTCAGCGTGGCTGTAGGGCTTCTCGAGTCATCTTTTCAAAATGCTGGCGGTCGCATCATGCTATTCGCTGGCGGCCCAGCGACAGAGGGACCCGGCATGGTAGTTGGACCCGAACTGAGGGAGCCCATTCGATCTCATCACGATATTGATCGAGACAACATCAAGTACTACAAAAAGGCGCTCAAGGTATGTCCCTGTGGTCTTGACATTCATCCTATCGTTGCTGCAACAAGCCCTGACTCCTAAGTAGTTCTACGATACACTAGCGAAGCGGACCGCACACAACGGCCATATCATTGACATATTTGCCGGATGTCTGGATCAGGTCGGCTTGCTCGAGATGAAGGGTCTTTGCAATTCTACGGGCGGCCACATGATTCTAACCGACAGCTTTACTTCGTCCATGTTCAAGCAGTCCTTCAACCGGGTGTTCGAAAAAGACGGCGACGATAACCTGGTCATGGGCTTCAACGGCGTCCTAGAGGTTCTCACCACCAAGGAACTCAAGGTCACTGGCCTGATCGGCCATGCAGTATCACTGAACAAGAAGTCGACATCTGTCGGTGAGACTGAGTGTGGTATTGGTAACACGTGCTCCTGGAAAATGTGCGGAATTGATCCCAGTGCGAGCTATGGTGTCTATTTCGAAATCGCAAGCCAGGGGGGACCAACGCAACACCAGCAAGCGCCGCAGAAGGCCATGATTCAGTTCCTCACCTACTACCAGCATTCATCCGGTCAGTTCCATCTTCGAGTAACGACCATCGCTCGGAACCTCAGTGGCCCCGCTGGAGACCCAGCAATCGCGCAGTCTTTCGACCAAGAAGCTGCGGCGGTTCTCATGTCGCGAATTGCCGTATTCAAATCCGAAGTTGACGATGGCCCGGATGTACTTCGGTGGGTCGACAGAATGCTCATCAGGCTTTGTTCACGCTTTGCCGATTATCGCAAGGACGACCCTTCTTCATTCCGCCTGGAGAAGAACTTCACGCTATACCCTCAGTTCATGTTCCATCTGAGAAGGAGTCAATTCCTGCAGGTCTTCAACAACTCTCCTGACGAGACCGCATTTTACCGCCACGTCCTCAACCACGAGGATGTCAGCAACTCACTGGTCATGATTCAGCCCACTCTGGACTCTTACACCTTTGACCAAGAAGGAGGGCAGCCTGTGCTTCTAGACTCAACATCCATCCAGGCAACTCACATCCTTTTGCTGGACACCTTCTTCCACATCCTCATTTTCCACGGCGAGACAGTCGCCGAATGGCGTAAGGCGGGCTATCAGGATCAGGAAGGTTATGAGAACTTTGCGGGGCTACTGGAGCAGCCAAAAGAGGACGCTAGGGTAAGTTTGCAGACGCACGGAATCCGGGCGCGCACTAGTTCATGGCACTGACAAACAGCAGGATCTTATCCAAGACAGATTCCCATTGCCGCGCTTCATCGTTTGTGACGCTGGCGGCTCCCAGGCGCGATTCCTGCTGTCCAAGCTCAACCCTTCGACAACACATACATCTGGAGCCTACGGTGGTGTCGGTGCCCAAACTGCTCAAACCATTTTCACCGACGATGTTTCTCTGCAAACATTCATGGATCACCTAATGAAGTAAGTCCCATCATACTTGATTGACCTCCGACTTTTCCTGACAAGTATCGTTCCAGACTTGCTGTCAGCGGCACTAATTAGCTTCGGGCTGTGTGGTCAAGCGGAGGTGAATGTGTATCTGAAGAGCATGCAGTACAGATAATAAATCGAGACACTCAGTTTCATATTGTAATGTCGGGTAAATGTTGTCCGTTATAACATTGACCAGTGAATGATGCGGCTTTGAAGACTCTCATTTATCTGGATAGGTAATATGTAGCATGCAGAACGCACTCATCAAGAAGCGCAAGTTATCTTAGTAGCACCGTAATCGCGGCAACATGGGCATGGGCTATTGAAGCTGCAACTACGAGCCGCACGTGATCAGGCCGTTTCCCCCACTGGCAACAGCCCCCTGTCAATGTGCCAGGCGAGCCCCGCAAATTCCTAGGGTTTCCACGCACCAACTAGTCACTGAGCAGAAAGAGGGCAGATCTCAGTCATTATTTTTTCCTTTGCGATCCGCTCGGGCTTTTCTTCATTATCCTTCTTCCATCACCCCAGACCAGGTCGACAGTAGCCATCATGCGTAAGTTCTCCCCATTATTGGACCAGCAATGTCACAAGGTTCTTGTTCAGCAGCTGACGAAGGGCTTGTTTAGCTCCCAAGATCGACCCCAACGAGATCAAGATCATGTTAGTACCCGCGACAGTCGCAAATGACCCAGCACAACTCCTAACATTGGCATTCATACAGCCACCTCCGGGCCACTGGTGGTGAGGTCGGCGCTTCATCCGCTCTGGCTCCCAAGATCGGTCCTCTTGGCCTCTCGCCCAAGAAGGTCGGAGAAGATATCGCCAAGGCTACTGGCGACTGGGTACGTTGAATTGTCTTCCAGAGTAGTCGTGTTGCTGCAGGATAGCCGCTGATCCATTGGACTACAGAAGGGCCTCCGCGTGACGGTCAAGCTCACTATTCAGAACCGTCAGGCCGCTGTCTCTGTCGTGCCCACCGCCTCTTCCCTGATCATTCGCGCCCTGAAGGAGCCTCCCCGCGATCGCAAGAAGGAGAAGAACATTAAGCACTCCAAGTCTGTCCCTTTCGACGAGATTGTCGAGATCGCCCGCACCATGCGCCACAAGTCTTTCTCCAAGTCTCTCGAGGGTACCGTCAAGGAGGTCCTGGGCACTGCCTTCAGTGTAGGATGCCAGGTTGATGGCAAGAGCCCGAGGGCAATCACCGATGCCATTGAGGCTGGTGAGCTTGATGGTATGTCGCACTTCCAGCACAACGAGCCAACCGGTGGACGACCAGCGAACTAACATACTTGCACAGTGCCCGAGGAGTAAGAGTACCTCTTTGGCCAACGATGAATTTCGCACGACTTTGGAGTTAAGGGGAGTGGTTCGAACTGGTTCCAAAGAGTCCTTCGGCGGACTCATATCTTCTCAATAAAATTCCCGACCCATCATGACCGGGTGCCCATGAGCTACCACGTTCTGAGACAACATGCAAACCGATCGACTGCGCCCCCTTGGCTAATCGACGCCTTGTGGGCACGTCATCTGGGCAAGAATGAATCCTTGTGCAATACTGGAATGTGTTTCCAGCCTGCGCTCGATTCTGCGAAAAGGAGGTGTTGCTCACCCGCACTGAAGTAGCATCACGGACTGTTGCTACCCCTTCTTACAAGATCTGCAGCTCAACGGTGTTGATGCAGTCTGATGGCAACTTGTTGCAACACCTAGAACTTTTGATGTGATTCTGGCTCATGATGTCGCAGAAGCATGGTAAGATGTTCATCGAATAACCTTCGCATCGCGCATCTAGACCTGAATAGTCAGCGTCCTCCGCCGCTCGCTTGTCCCAATAGACATCCACGCACTGTCGTGACCTACCATGCGCGAAGACTTGGAAGCTTCGATTGTTCCACCCCTCGTGGTGAGTTGCCAAAAGTGTTCGCAAGCGAGCCTTGCCAGGCATTATCATCATATGGCTTTACGCTCCTACTGTTCCTGCCGAGACCGAACGTTGAGAAACGAACTCTGACGCCTGGTTTGTCAACTACAGCATGTAAAACCCATTCACGGTGATATTGCCAGGTTGCGCTCTTACCAGTGTTATCTTCTGCAATCGACTTCATATCACAATAGCTTGTGTAGATGACCCCATAAATGAATACGAATCGTGCGCCACCAGCCTTGACCTACGTGCCATGCAGCCGAAGTCTGAAGGTTGCTGACTTACGTACGAAGCTGAGCGAAAGGCTTGGCCCCACCCCGTCGCCAACAGCAATAGCGTGATTAGGTAGCTATAGCACCTGCATGTTGATATCACATAGGGGAGGCGGCGTCTTGTCACTGTAGTATACCTGCCGCAACTGATTACCCACGACCCCCCTCCTGACAACGCCGGATGCTTGCTCGATAGATACTAATCGCTCTACCGCACAACAAAGATCATCACCGCCACATATGAGGTCGAAGCTTAGCATCAAGTCAAATCGCGGAAGATTCAACGTCACTGTGTCATCACACATTTTTTGGCACGCAGTTGTCTTGGCGCTGGCATTGCCGCCGCCGACATGATCCTCTAGATGCAGTCAGCGGCCGTTTCAGCCATGCTTTGATTGATCATCAGGCAATGACAGAACGAACGCTCGAAGTCGGGAACACGACATTGCTGGTCGCGCCCATCTCTTCCTTCTCGATTCGACTCCCTCATTCCGATGTCCACCCAAAATCTCTACCTGCAAAGCCTGCCGTCACAACCCATGTTGCCTCTGGTTCAGGTGCACCATAAGGTGCATCCACAATCAAACCACCAAGCAGTCCCCTCGCATTACAACCGCCACAGTCCGAGCAACCCCTCGGGCGACCAGCTTCCACAGTCATCAAGAGACCCCGTATCTTTTCTGTCTCCGAAAGAACTCGCAAGAGCCATTCCCATTCGGAATCTGCAGCCCGGCCATCCTATCTACCATCGCACAGCAAGACTCTCGCTCCCATCCTATGTCGCTGATCACAATGAATACCAGCTAAGACGCAAGACTCCAAACGGAACCTTGCATGCCGGCTACGATGGCTCTCCAACACAGCTTGCCCAAGGCCCTCCGCCGTTAAAGCACATGATACTATCAGCTCCGCCGGCTGCTTCAGTAACCTCCCGGCCGCAAATGGTTCACAATGTATACTCCGCTTATCCGTCGAGCCTGCGCGCGAACGGGTTTACTTCACAAGTGTGCGACAGTCACACTTTCGATGCCGTACATACGGCTTCTATCACACAATGCCCACGATCTTCTCTGCACGATTTCCAACAACAGAGGCGCTACTCGGCCGATCCTAGTACTCCGCGCTTTCACGGAGCCACATATGATATCAGTAATGAACCGGAACGGTGGTCAACTTGGTATAGTGCCCAGCCACAACCTCCGTACGACAACTTGACCGCCAGAGCTGGCTGTCTGGGTGCGCCCAATGCCTTCGATCATATAGACAGCCGTCCAGATCGCAGCGAACTCCGAGACTTTGGATCTATGCCGCCTCGCAATGGTCTTGAATACCCACCCTCCGTGTTACAGACGTCATATCCTGCTGTGGAGTCTCTTGCTATAGGATCCAATTCTTTCCAGCCTGATATGTCCACGGCCTCTCAATTCAGAGAGAAGACACTAACTCAGGCATATCGTGCTTACATGGATTTACTCACGCAACTTCATCATATGCGGAAGGCTGGCCCTTCGTCGCTGAGCTCTAGCGCGCTGTCAAAATTGCTTGTCTATCCAAAGCCATCGAAACCGACGCCTTGGGACCCCAACATAGCTCTAGGGGGGCCAGCCCACGACACCGAGCTATCGTTCACGAATACGAGAACGAGGGCGACGCGGTTTCCAACTGCGGACATGTATTTCGTCGGTACACCTCCAGTTGAGTGGGATGCTGGTCCCAAGCATGTCCCTGTCGTTCCAGCAGCCATGATGCCATGCCATGCTTTGCCTATGGAGATAAACAAGGGCTCGCCATCGTCAAGCGCGAAAGCTTCATTAGAGACTCTGACACACCTCTGTGAACAAAGCAGTTGGAAATGGACAGACGGGATGATGCTTGGAGGGTGTCTACTTTATGGGCTTGATCGCTTCGAAGACGCCTCGGACTGGTTCAGTCGAATCATTGAGCTTAACGCCAAGTGTGTACATCGCTACTGAAAGACTGCATTCACAAGGCGCTAACCTTTCGGCAGCAATGTAGAGGCTATGTCGAACAAGGCAGCGACGCTTTTCTGCCTGAACCGACAGGAAGAAGCCGAAAAGCTTTGGCTCCAAGCTATTAGAATACGCCCGCAATTTATAGAGGCTGCTGAACACCTCGTTGGCTTGCTTTACAAGAAGCGAGGTCGGGAAGCTGTCAGGATCATCGACTTCATCCAGCGGTCCTTGAAGCTGCCGGGCGTCACAAGTCATTCAAGAGAACTCGATTCGAAATTGGCAAGAAACTCTGAATCCAGCGACAGCCAGACCCGAACATCTTCCCTCCCGTTGTCTGAGAATGCAGACGGAAAGTCGTCAGGGTTTGGATCCAGCGGTTATGCCATACCAGCATCTGAAAACGGCCGGATGCTTGCCCTCGTGCACGCCAAGGGTACTATGCTGTATAGTCTCAAAGAAGTTGACAGGGCATCGCGATCCTTCGAGGAAGCAGTCTTAATTAGTGCTGGGCGGCAATTTGCATGCGTCCGGGACCTAGTGTTTAGGGTCCAGTCAGTCCTCTCCCCTGGGCAATGGGTGTCAGCAACACAAGGCATCCCGAACACGGACACTTTGCCTCCTCTTCTTCTACCACCCGAGAGGGCACGGAATACTGCCGGTCTTGTTTTCCCCGGGCGCGGCAAGTTGCCAGGCCTTGTTTGTGTACCGAATGGAGGTCCAAGGCGGGCAGCTATACAAACAACAAGCAACTCACTGTTGTCGCTTGCCAAGATCTACCAGGACACCATGTCAAGCGCAGCGGGTAGTTCGGTGCTTAACCAGCGTCCCTCCGGCATTAACGACATCCTCGCGCTCTACTATTTGTCTCTTTCTTTGCAAGAAAGCCCTTCAACGGCAAACAATGTCGGCATCCTTCTTGCCAGTGTGCAACAAGCCCCCAGCACGACCTCGCAATTCATGGTATCGAACAGACCGCAGGCGTCGGGCATACCCGGTATCTTGCCGGGGAGTGGCCTCGCGCTTGCCCTGTCTTACTACAATTATGGTCTGTCGTTAGATCCAAAACATGTTCATCTCCACACCAATCTTGGAAGTCTGCTTAAGGATATTGGCCAGTTGGATCTGGCCATCCAGATGTACGAACAAGCTGTCTCGTGCGATGGTACATTTGACATCGCCCTAACAAACTTGGCCAATGCCGTTAAGGATCGAGGCCGCACTAGCGATGCCATCGCATACTACAAGCGGGCAGTACTTTCTAATCCCGACTTCGCAGAAGCTGTGTGTGGATTATTCACGGCACTGAATTCGGTCTGTGACTGGAGAGGACGGGGAGGCTTGGTGTTGCCCGAAAACGAATACGATCGATGGCATGTTGACGATGACGGTATGCTCGTGGATGCTGCGGTCCAGCGTCAAGCGAGTGGCCTAACAAAGAAAGTGGTCGACATTGTGCGAAAGCAACTCGAGGAGGCATCGACCTGGGGTATTGGTGCGCTGCCAGAAGGAGATCTCACAATCTTCGTTTCACAGTTGCAGCAGGCGCGAGCCTTTGCTGCAGACGACGCGTTCGAAATTACATCTGGTCTTCGAACATGGTCTCGGAAACATTGGGAAGGCTCGCGCATTCTGCGCTTTGTCGAGCGGTCTACAAAAGCGGTCATGCGACGGTGGTATTGCGACATATATATCCTCGATCTGACAACCAGATCAACTTACAACCGGCCGCTGTTGCCGCCTGCTCTTACGGTTCCGTCCGCACCGACCGTTCTCCCATTTCACACATTTACATGTCCCTTGACCGCCCAGGATGTACGCATGATATCGCAACGCAATGCGTTGAGGATCTCATGCTCGACCTTACGGGCGCCCTGGCTGCCACGCTCTGTCTACCGACCCCCTCCTCCACCATCGCCTCAACTCAATGTTGGTTATGTTTCGTCCGACTTCAATAACCATCCCCTTGCTCACCTGTAAGTGTCTCGCCCGCAATGTTGTCATTTACCAAGTATTTACATCTTTCTGACCAAATATTTCGCTAGCATGCAATCTGTATTTGGCTTCCATGAAACAAATAAAGTCAAAGCCTTCTGTTACGCAACTACTGCAAGTGATGGCTCCGTCCACCGTCTACAAATTGAGCGCGAGGCACCTATTTTCCGAGATGCAAGCAGCTGGCCGTCGGATCGCATCGTTCAACAAATTGTGGCAGATGAAATTCACATACTCGTTAATTTGAACGGGTACACTAGAGGTGCTCGGAACGAGATATTCGCCGCGAGGCCAGCTCCCATCCAGATGTCTTTCATGGGCTTCGCTGGAACATTGGGTGCAGAGTGGTGTGATTACATCCTAGCAGACACAACCGCGATCCCGCCCAGCACCCTCCGCCCATGGAGGGGAAATCTTCATGTCCAGATGTATTTCAGGATCAGACCGAAGAAGCGACTGGCGACTGGATTTACTCTGAAAACGTCATATTTTGTCGGGACACATTTTTCTGCTGCGACCACGCCCAATCTTGCAGTCCGGAAGAGCGTCAGTTGTCATGGGAAGCTGAACAACGCCGTCGATGGCAAATGCGCAAGGAACTTTTCCCCGGTTTTTCAGACGACACTGTCATCCTGGGCAATTTCAATCAGCTTTACAAGGTGCGAGCACCGAAAGACGCTACGTTAAAAAGGAAAACACTGACAACGGCGACAGATTGATCCAAGCACTTTCCGCTCTTGGCTACGCATCCTTTCTCGTGTGCCCAAAGCGGTGCTCTGGTTGCTCCGCTTCCCTGAACTTGGCGAGACAAATCTTAAGAGGACGGCAAAGGCATGGGCTGGGGCAGAAGTAGCCAGCCGCATCATCTTTACAGATGTTGCGCCCAAACATCTTCATATTTCTCGAGCAAGAGTATGCGACCTCTTTCTCGACACACCAGAGTGCAACGCCCACACAACTGCAGCCGATGTGTTATGGTCAAGCACTCCACTCTTGACGTTTCCGCGCTACTCATTCAAGATGTGCTCTCGGATGGCCGCCTCCATCCTAAAGGGAGCCCTACCCAAGGGTCCCGAAGGGCAACGCGCAGCTCAGGAGCTGATAGCATCGAGCGACGAAGAATATGAATCATTAGCGATACGGTTGGCCAGCAGTCTGGCGTACCATGGAGGTGAAGAGTATGGCGAAGGAGCGGGCCGCCTGGCTGAATTACGATACCTTCTGTGGAGAAGCAAATGGAGTTGTGCCCTTTTTGATACCCGAAGGTGGGTGGCCGACCTTGAATTGGCTTACCAGGAGGCGTGGCGAAGATGGGTCGCCGGTGAGGATGGCGATATCTATCTGTAGAGCTTCACCAACTGCGAATGACTTGGGCAATGGACGTTCATTTCTTGGACGTCGAGTATGATCTGCTGGAATAGGCCGTGGGCGACGGGACTGGGTACCATGTGCTCAAGGAAGCGTGCGTGCATTTGCTGTTTGTCGGGCTCGTGTCACGGTGATTTCATTTTCTCCTTTGTTTCCGTCGTCTTTCTGTATTTCTTCCACATGTATAATACCCCGGACCCTCTTTCCTCACGTTTGTGAGAGGTGAGATCCCAGCGATGCCGCGAATCTATAGTATCAGACTCGAGCTTCTCCGAAAGCATCTCTACGGTCATGACATTGGTAGCCGGCTTGACTGCAGTGATACCATTCTGGCCACATCGCACAGTTGTGGGTTCGAGACCAGTCCAAGACATGAGTCATGCGGCACGAGTCGACTTGGAGAGTACCAAGGGGGAGACACGAGGCAGGCGACGGGGTCTAGACTCGAGCTCGACCCAGGAGAATGGCACAGAACAACGGCTCGTACGAGAGCCAATGGCGCGTGCAGGCGGGACGACCGGCTCGACATACGCACGTTGACCGTCGCAGTGTGCCAGTCCAACATGGTCACAGTCCCTGGATGGCCCTCTTCCGGGATGCTCCATTATGGCGGCAAGTCGCTGCATTGGTGTGAGGGGTGGCCACGCTCAGCTGGCGCTTTGTCGCGTGGCGCGGCTGGAACTAGGGGCGGACCCAAGCAGCTGGGCCTGGGTTTCCTGCGTGGCAGTACGGTCTTTCATTCAGATCCCTTCCCCGTCAGGTTCGCGAAACTTCTCCGAGATGGGTCTAGTCAAGATTTGGATCGAGCCATTTGGACTTCCACTGCATGATGCCTAGCAATGTAGGGTGTGGCGTAGTGCATAGTTGGAAAGCAAGTGGGGAGTTGGCCGAGGGGGGCTGTATTGGTGTGCTAACCTAGGTAGGTGGTTAAGGCCTAGCTGCACTAGCAGACGTTGCTTTTTCTGGTGGCGGTTGACGGGACCGAAGCGTAGAGTGGGTCCCGAACGTTCTCGGGCGCTCCAGTGACAGTGAATTGTCGCTGTGCGTCGGCTTGGCTGCTGTGAGAACCGTTGGCAATCCACGCGTCCATCAGCCGTACTATGTGTTCGGTATGGCACAGAAGACAATAGTACCCCTATCTCAGCATTCATGCTGCCTCAATATCTCATGCCGAGATGTCTTCTCTACGCTAACAGAAATACTGACGACAGTGGTGGATAGAGCGGATGGACCATAGTCAAAGGCAAACATGCGTAAGAGGTAAGTTAGGCCTGTGGGCCATCCATAGGGGCCGCCTCAATGCAATATGACCAGGGCTTGCACACAACGTTGAGCGCGTGGTATGGATGAACCTTAAGGCATCTTGTTGCACTGCATGCTTGGTCCATAAGTCCCAGCTGGCTGGCTCGCGAAGCCTCCCGTCGGGCGATCAGCGCACGCGGGACAGGGGTTGCGAGCGGGGACCTTCCCTGCCATCGCGGCCTTCTATCTGAGATCACACCTCACCCAAGAGCCTTGGACACTCAAGTTTGTTTTCGGGCAGCTCGTCAGCTGAGGCCTAAACACAGCGTTGGTGTGGTAGGGCAAGGGATGAAGTTTTGGGCGACTGCCTTTCCCATTAAGATTACACTCTACTGGGAATGTATCATGTTGACAAGAATGCAATATTCGTGAGACAACAGACAAGGTAAACGAGACGGATGAGATAGCCGTACTCATGTTGATGAGGAGCATCAGCCGCGGAGGGCAAAGCGACTGGACAAGAATTAATTGTATGGTTTCAGCTGTCCCAAAGTTGCCTCGTCATGCACAGTACTTCCAGATAAATCCGGTCAGTCAACTCAGCAAACCAGTATCTAGTCGCACGAAAATGTGGGAGTGATGCCCCCTATCTCTGCCTGTCGCAGTTCCTGGTCCGCCCGGTACCAATCGCCTAGGCTGGTGTGAAGTACGAATGCAGGATATGGGGCCCTGGCCAGACCAAGGGGCCAAGCGCGGCGCTGAAAACGCTCGGTCCAGCAATAGTCGGTCGGGGGCCCCACCCGCATTCGTTGAGTTCATCGTTCACCAACTGTCCACGATCAACCGGTACCGTCCATCATCCCTCGTGTACCCCTGCCGCTCCCAGCTTATCATCGGGCATCGCTCGGTTTATTCTGTATTGGGCACTAGGACCGAGAGAACTACATGTAGTGGGTTGTCGTCACTACGCTTTCGCATTTGTGTCGCGACGGGTGCGGTCCATCGCACTGTTGGCAGTACCAGCGGCTGATCCTCTCTCTAGATCGATCGAGGTGCATCCTTCCGAATACCAGCATGTTGCCAGCTGGGACACAGACAGGCCTAACGGCATCAATCCTGAAATATCGCCCAAGCTCGAGCAATCTATCGTTCTCAAGGCTAACTGCCCTTGCAACCCGGATTGCCAGATCACTCTGGCAAGCCCACATGACCGCTGCAACCGCCAGCTGTCTTGTGGGCGTTGCCGGGATTTTCAGCTTGTCAATGGCGGCGGCACCCCTGGCCTAGCAATGCTACAGCTCCAGCCCCTGCATCCTGGTGTCCCGAAGCGAATCGAACCAAGCCCACCGAGATGAATTGCCGATAGATACGACTGGAGCAGAAAGGGGGATGAGATCAAAGTCATCTAGCTCGATATGTCCGTCGCCCGAATAGACAGGTCGGGGCGGATCGCGAGTCCATGTCGCCTGAACCAACACTTTGCTTCTTCACTCGCAAGGTGGCCCCTGGTACGATTCCACGCGTGAAGATGCAAGCAAACCGGGGAGCGGGGCAGGATATGGCCTGTAGCATGGGTCCCTGGCAGCGATCTGCAAGTAGCCCATCAGTAACTCGATCTTGGGAACGGAATGGCCGTTGCAGACGATCACTTGGCACGACGTAACACCCGTCAATTCACCTGTTCTGTCATTTGCTTGGTGTGTCTTAACGGATTAGGACGAAGAAAGAAAAACACAGGCTGGTGGGCAGGCGCGCCGAGTCAGTGGCATTCCCACGCCATTCCAATTTGCATGCCGCACGGCAAGGCCCTGGTCACGGATGAATGAACAAACAGTCTGGAAGCCTGGACACACATAATTGAGACCTCAGCGCCATGCACCACGCAGCCTCCCCCCGCGACTAGGGCTACCCCGGTCGCTATCTATGCCGCCAGCAGAACTTTCCTGCCTGGTGCGCTCTGTCTCGTCACCCCCGGTCAAGTCTGGCATGGGCAGTCCTCGCGGCTCGAGCCTCGAGCCTCAATGCCGCAAGCCTCTCTCAGACCACTTGTTCCGGGCTAGCACCACCTCGGACATGGTGCATGTAGCCCAATTCGGCGGTAGTAGAGATCTCTCTGATGGGGCCATCTCCATGGCGCCTGGCGTGGACGCACCCCCCCCCCCTTCTCCCCCACCTCTTTAGTTCCCCCCTTCCGGAACCGAGCCTCTGTTTCCATCAACAGCGCCACGGCCATGAATGGCTGGAAGCCCTTGGTCTCGATGCATGCTGCTCATCGGGAGTCGCGGACTCAATACACTGAGGGACTGTGTAGGTTTACAAAAACTCCCACCCTCCTTCTTCACTCCTAGACGACTATCTCGCCACGCCTCCGCCTGAATTAAGAACAGACGATATCACTGAGCAGTCTATCTTATTTATTTTCTTTGCAACTCGACGCCGGCGATACTTCCTCGCCTACCTTAACCCGGTCTCCTTGACCACTCAGTAAATTCAGTCCACAACATTTGACTCGATCAATCCTTGACTTGGCCGACTGCTTCATCTCCAGGCGCTGTGTCCGGATCCACCCCCAACAAGGTCACTCCGAAGTTGTTCTCCTCCAACATTGCGACTTCCACTTCATCCCGCTGCCCTGCAGACTCGAACCTAATTGCGTAAACGACTCCTCTTGGAGCAAGTCAAAGAGCTGCTTAGTCCAGCCCTACAGGATCATTATCACAATTCGGACATAGAGTTGAACGGGTCTGCCATTCGCATCCCATCATACGAATAATCTGTCAGCTTGTCAGGTTACACGATCACTTCGCCATACTCGACTTCACGGATCTTGGTCACTCCGTGTATAACTATGGCGCAAAGGAGGGGTCCATGGTCCCAACACGAGGATGCATGTCTGATGCAGCTCGTTAGTGAGCAGGGTCCTCTTAACTGGGTTCGAATTGCACAAACCCTAGGCACCAGGACACCCAAGCAGTGCAGAGAACGCTTTCACCAGAATTTGAAGCCAACCCTCAACCACGAGCCCATTACAGCCGAGGAGGGCGTACAGATTGAAATTCTTGTCAATGAGCTCGGCAAACGGTGGGCAGAAATCGCTCGAAGACTTTCCGGAAGAAGCGACAATGCAGTGAAGAACTGGTGGAATGGGAACCAAAATCGTCGGAGACGCCATGACCGCAGACGAAGCACACATCCTCGACCCAGCTATGAAGACGGCCGATACTCTTCACCAAGGCCCTACCAAAATCGCCCCTCTCTCACGCTACACCCAGGGCCTAATTCAATGCAACATCCTACTACTACTCAATATCTATCTTCGCCAACATCACCTGCCCACAGCTCTGGGAACTACTCACGCCATCAGCATGGCTCATCTCTTCCTTCACCAAGCTCGACAGCCTCGCCGAGGAGCGACGCACTCGATGCTGACAACACTGCACTGTCAGATTCGGGATCAAGCTACACGACATCACCTCGCGAACACTACACACGCGTCTCCCCACCCGTACAACTACCACCTCTCCGAATTGCCGTTACTTATGACTCGCTGCCCCGCTCCCTGCCGGGTGTTGGTTCACTGCTTCACACAGCCGGGGAGAGAAGAGATGTCACCATTGCAGGCACGTACCTGCCAGCGCATTCTTCTCATTTGCCTACAGCACCATGTTCCCCAACAGAGGATCACCGTTCGTCCAGAAGATTCTTTGGCACGGCCGAAGACAGGGACGCACGGATGACTGTAGATCAGCTTGTCAACCGTTGACTTCTGTTGACGCTAGTCGATCAGTGGCTTTGCTTTGGGTACGCATTGAATATGCGAGAGTATGTTCGGGGTTGCGGGCGGCACGCAATTTTTTTTCAAGGATACCCCTTTCGTGGCATTAATGGCCAGTTCACGCGACTGCTCACCGGGGAGCAAGGTTAATCCGCATGGAATGTAAAGGTAGACGGCAGTTCACGGATGTACACGATGTTGAACCACGAACGATAGAGTTCGTTGCTGATACTGGCGAGACACGCCAGGCATTGCCAGAGGTTGCATATAATGAGGCGATGCCGAATAGACGAGTGATTACACGCGTCGCAGGTCCAACACTTGCTCATGCTCCTCGGTTGGGCTGAACATAAGCTACAACGCCACATAATAGACATTGTACAAGCCATTTGTGGTTTGACGTGAAGTAGCAAGAAGGTTCGGTAGCCTTTGAAGATGGCGAATGGAGCAATCCAAAAGCTCACCCACATGTTGCCGCATTTACTGTATTGGACTGTCTTGTTCTGCTGCATCAATGACCTAAGGTAGTGTCGGGGCGCAGGGCTGAAAACAGACTACGTTGTGCTGCAGGATGTATCTTGGGTTTGGCTCGGTCTAGACCACGAAGCGCAGCGGTTTCGCCATGAATGAATGACGCGTTTGTCATGATGACACAAGGACGGACCGATCAGCCCAGCCGATCTTTCTCGGGCATAACAAGACAGGCAGGGGCGAGGTAAAAAGGTGGGGGTGGGTTATTTGTTCCGGTGATGGCTCGTCACCATGGCGCTCCGATGGATCTGCTTGTTTCAGTCACAGACATCAGGGATAGAATAAGTTTTCTTCGGTACGAATCGTGCAGCCTAACCTGCCCTCCAGATTCATGGCTTCCCTTGTGTGTTGCAGTTCAACACCTTAGTCAAGTATAGATTCAGTTGTCTATGTCGACTACCGCGTCTGGCATCGAACTGTAGAGCATCCAATACTTCAGTAACTTCCGTCTTCGGTGCCTGTGCTTGCCTTGCTTACTAGGACTGGCAGCCCACATCGAGTGTTCCATTGCGCGGCAGCAGCGTAGATACTATCGGCCAAAAGTTCATCCCCCTTATTCTACTCGTCGATGGAACACGTCACCAAGAACCATGGCTGGCAATTTCGGTGGGCTATAAGCGACGGAAGCTGCTCGAAGATGAGCGCCACACTACTTGAACCTTCTCTACGCCACTTCGCACCTCCGCTTGCATGTTGGGTTTTTGCTGAATTGGCGTTCGAAATGCGGCTGCTCAGTTATTGAACGTCTCAGCTTCCGACCACTGATACTTCTCCACAAGTCTCGGGGGTCAATATCATGCCCCTATTCGTGTAACGATAACTCAGTTGGCTTGTTTTAGAGCGTTGGCTGCTGACAGAGTTCCTGGCAGAGTTCGTCGCCTCTTTCCAACCAGACCGACCCCCAGCCCCGCAATGACCAGCGCTAGCCTTTTACCTAGATGCTGTTTGACAAACAATTTGGCCGAAGTCAGATACCGTCTGTTGTTTGCTTGTGCTCAAGACTGATAACTACGTGTAGGATGCACTGCTACGGCTCATACTCGGCCGTTCCCCGGGCTGTCTGCCGAAGTCCACCAGAGTCAATCTCTGACATGCGTCAGAGATCGTACGTGTCGTGATCTTTCGACCGCTCCGAGAGCCGCTTTCGGTAGTCTCACATCTGTCTTCGGGCAAGCTGGCAGATCTATTGCGGCATTGTGGAGACCTGAAGTCCTCGTAGGGAGCCATGACAAGGCCCTGGCAGGAAACTTTCTCAGTTGGGGTTACCTCGTGAACGTCATTCCCGCCAGAGGTCAGTGTTCTTTTGTAAGAGCTGCTGACTGCATTCTCTTCGGAGACCATTTCATTTGACGAGTATCCAGTCGACTCAGCCGCTTCCCCAACTTCTTCGCCCTGTGAGCGTTTCGCTGGGCTCATTGTAAGGGAGGTCGTGCTTGCCTTGTGCCTATCGATGACGGAATTTTCGCAGCATTGCTTGCTTGGAGATGTACAGTGGTGGCTGACCATCGGGAGCCTGTCATCGCCCGCTTGGAATGAGAAAATGCGGCGATGGTGTGTCTCCGTGACGCCCTCGTCTTCGCTGCGGTCCAAATCATCAAATTGATCCGTCGAAGATGAGTTAGGTGCTCCCGAACCGGCCGTGAGGTGATCAGTGAGGCGAGAACGTAAGAAGTTGTCGAGCCTCCCGGTGCCCGGGCCCAGATATAGCCCAGGTTTTGGGTGTTCAAGGTTTGCAGGCCGGCAGCCCTGATGCACTCCAGGCTCTTGTGAACTACTGCCTGCGTTGACGACAGACGTCGCGGCACGTCGTCTCTGACCAGGTCTCCGGCGCAGGCTGTGGCGGCGAAGCCGCTCACTGCTGATGACATCGGCGTCCGGGGCCAAGTCTTGCCGCATAGTCACTGAGAAGGCTCATATTAGTTGTTATAAAGTAACGATCCAAACAGGCGTGTTTTATATCTCACTCACAAAGTGAGCGATGCGATGCGAATCGCTGTGGCTTTCTAAATCTTGTTTCAGTTGGGCAACAGACATCGCCAAGTTCGACATCAGCACCTGCTTGAGCATGCTGAGAGAGTATAGGATCAACCCCTGCGCCGTCCGTCAAGTCACGAATGCGTGCCTTGAACCGCCTTGACTCGGCCAGGCTGCGATCCACAACGCTCCCGGATCTCGCAAGCACAACAGCCGCAACACCTTCGGGGGCAGCTCGGGCCAAGAGCAACTCAAGCCGGCGGATTTCAGCCTTGTAATCGCTCTCCTTCTTCCCCCAATCTATTGACATCGTCGTGAACTCGTCCAGGCTTCTTCGTTTTGTTTCAGTCTCCTCAGCAAGCAATTGCTGTGTCTCGTGTAGGGAGGTTTGCAATCCCGAAAACCCTTCGAGTAGATGTCGAATATGTGGGTCGAACTCTACTGGGAGTGGTGTTGAGACCGATTTCGTCATCATAAGGGTGTATAGAATGTCAACAGTCTGATCAAGGGTTGGGTGATGCCAGGCGTGTGCCCTGTCGTCGACGATTTCTTCGAGAGCCGCAGGGGCTGGCGGAAGATGCCCCTTGTACGAAGCTTGTCCTGTACTTGGCATGCTTTCCTGGTCTATGTTCAGAGACGAGACACGGCTGCACAAGCTTATCGTCGCTTGTCGGCCTACTTCGCACGCACCTTCCTTTAAGTTGCTGTTGTCGGTCGTGTAAGTATTGTTCAGACTTGGCTCATGAGCGCTGGATGGTTGCCGGGGTCGGAACCAGTCTAGAGCAAACATTGTGTCCTAGAATTTGAAGGCCACGGCAATCCTTGATGATGAAAGGGAATCTCATCTACAGGAAAATCGGTTGCGTCTATCAAATTGTTGGCAAGGATGGTAATACCAACACAGCCTGCAGAGACTGCCGATTCCGCAGGCTCGAACGAAGGTGGACTCGGGCGCGGACAGGAGGCGCATAGGAGACAGCAAAATTCGACTTCTTGTGTGGCGAGGAAAGTTCAGCCTGGCTAGCAGACCTTATGCTGCTTCTGAGATTTTGCACCTGCCGTGACAGATGAGTAACAATGGAGCAGCAACGGCGGCAGCAACAACAGCAGGAAAGAGAACGAGCGATCTGCTTGATCCTGGACTTCCTTGTCAATTGCCGGCTATTCTTCTCACCGACAAAGAGGAGCACAGAGTTGACAGAAGGGATGAGTAGCACTAGGCCCGTGTCAACGACAACGTCTGAAATCACGCAAGGACTGTCCAGACGTGTCTTGACCCTGTAGTGCCTACCTATCCAAGTTTCGATGCTACTCTGTCGC